AACCACAGACAGAAACAATCTATTAAAATAGTTCAATTTTGCGAGTGAAACTCGAACATTCCTACACCTATGCATATAATAAGTGCAAATAGTAGTATCAACAATTCTAATCAGCCAACAAAACTCCTAAACCTATGCTTACTAATCTACCAATTAACTAGTATAAGTTTTCATGATTTTATAATAAAAAATCACATAAAATCACGAGAAATAATTCTTCAAGTAACTCAAAAATATAATAAGAGAAAAAAAATCAAATGTGACGTAGAACTTTACCCGAGCACTACAAGGTATAATGTCACCATATCCCACAAATGACATCATTTGCGCCGTGAGGGAAAGTGAAAAAACATATGGTGATAAAGTCATGTGGTTGGTTTTACATGAGAAATTTTGCCAAAATTGCAACAATAAAACAAAAATCATACCATACATCAACAACCACATGAAGATCCTAATGAGCACTTGAAGAAAAGTTGGAGGCACAGCTCTTAGAACATATTGTGAAAGAAGAGCTACATGTTGTGGAAGGGAATGTGCAACTTGTATATATTAAGGTGCAACTTCTAAAATATGTGATGGAGGTGATGAGGGGTGTATGAGTAAGTCACCTCCAACTCAACTTCCAAGTAGTGAGCAGCGCAAGAGGGGTATTAAAATGTCGCCTCCATTTTTTTGCTGAAGTAAATAGTACATTTGGAGTAAATAATAGTCGACAACCACATCCAAACACTGTAAAAAAATCAATGCATCATCTAACATAATGAAAAAAATCAAATGTGACATAGAACTTTACTCGAGCACTACAGGGTATAATGTCACCATATCCCACAGATGACATCGTTTGCACCATGAGGGAAAGTGAAAAAATATATGGTGATAAAGTTATGTGGTCGGTTTTGCATGTGAAATTTTGCAAGAATTGTAACAATAAAACAAAAATCATACCATACATCAACGACCACATGATGATCGTAATGAGCACTTGAAGAAAAGTTGGAGGCATAGCTCTTAAAACATATTGTGGAATAAGAGCTTCATGTTGTGGAAGGGAATGTGCAACTTGTATATATTAAGATGCAACTTCTAAAATATGTGATGGATGTGATGAGGGTGTACATGTGTAAGTCACCTCCAACTTTACTTCCAAGTAGTGAGCAGAGCAATAGGGGTATGAGAAGGTCGCCTTCATCTTTTTGGCTGAAGTAAATAGTACATTTGGAGTAAATAATAGTCGATAACCACATCCAAACACTGTAAAAAATCAACGCATCCTTCAACATAATGGAAATATCCTCATAGCCAAGTGTTCTTATGGAAACCATAAAAAAAAACAATCTATCAAAATAGTTCAATTTTGCGAGTGAAACTTGAACATTCCTACACCTATGCATATAATAAGTGCAAATAGTAGCATCAATAATTCTAATCAGTCAACAAAACTCCTAAATATATGCTCGCTAATCCACCAATTAACTAGTATAAGTTTCTTTGATTTTATAAAAAAAATCACATAAAATCACAAGAAATAATTCCCCAAGTAACTCAACACTATAATAAGAAAAAAAAAATCAAATGTGACGTAGAACTTTACCCAAGCACTATAGGGTATAATGTCACCATATTCCACAGATGACTTCATTTGCGCCGTGAGGGAAAGTGAAAAAAACATATGTTGATAAAGTTATGTGGTCGGTTTTGCATATGAAATTTTGTCAGAATTGCAACAATAAAACAAAAATCATATCATACATCAACTATCACATGACGATCCTAATAAGAAAAAAAAACAAAAACAAAAAGAAAATCAGACCAACAAAAAAAGAAAAGAAAATAAAGCAATCAGACATTGACCGGGTAGAAAATGAAAATAGAAAATGAAAACGATAATTTGGTGTTTTCAGTTTCTGTACATGAGTTTGAATTTGTTTTCAGAAAACAAATTCTAGTGAAAATGAAAACGACATACTGAACGCGTTTTTTGTAGAAAATGAAAACATAAAATGAAAATGGGGCCTTGAAAACGTTACCGAAAGGCCCCTTAGTCCCCTTATAAGGAAGTGTTTTTGATGGGCCCGGTATTAGCAATCCCATATAAGACTAAGATGAGATGAAACAAACATGTGACTAAATTTAGTCTAACCCAGGCTATGCCAAGCTTGTGTAACAAAGAGCCCTTTAAGGCAAGCAAGTTATTTTTTTTTTTTCTATCTTTTTTTTTTTTGAGTTTTTTTTTTTTTTTTTTTTTTTTTTTTTTTTTTTTTTTTTTATAATAAATATCTCAAATTTAAATGTTCCATATCAACTTTGCTTTGCAATATAAATATGTGGAAACAAAGAGAAAGACATAAATAAGAACTATGTGCCAATTGGTCATTTATTTATTTATTTATTTTATTTTTTATTTTTTATAATTAAAAAAAATTTGTTTTTTAGAATTAAGAAAAGATAATATGGGTAGTTATGTTCCATAAAAGTAGGACTTAATATTTGATTTGATTTTTATTTTTATTTTTTTAATATAAAAAAATGTGAATTTACCATATTATCCTCATTTAATTAATAATTTTAATTTTTAATGTTTGAATTAACTAAAGACATTTTCTGGTATTTTAAATGTTTCACCATTTTCTGCCTTTTTTTTAATATATACTAGCCCCTTAGCACATGCTCACGCATGTGCAAATTGGTTTTATTTATTTATTATTTATTATTTTAGAATTAAGAAAAGATAACATGGGTAGTTATGTTCCATAAAAGTAGAACCTATTATCTGATTTTGTTTTTAATTTTAAAAAATGTGAATTTACTATATTATCCTTATTTAATTAATAATTTCAATTCTTAATGTTTAAATTAATCAATGTCATTTTTTGATATTTTGAATGTTTTACCAATCTCTCCTTTTGCTTTATATATATATATATATATATATATATATAGAAGAAGAATAAAGGGGGAACTCTTTAGATAGCATGTGTATCATGATATTACAGATACACAGAATGCTATTGATAAGGATTATAGAACTCATGGTAAATTGAGGGTTTTATTTTTCCCATATTTCCCATAAGAGCATTTCCAGCAAGGGGAGGGTTTTTGTTGGGGGGGGGGGGGGGGGGGGGCAAAAAAAAGGCAACAAAGTCCTGCAAACAGGCAAGCAAGGAGGGTGGGGCCGAGCAGCCTAGGCTGGCCCGAGCGCTGGCCCGAGGGCCAATATGATGTCAGTCCTGGAGTTAAAAAAATTTAACATTGGCGCGTGCGTTCACGTGCCAATGTTAAAAAAAATTTGACGCACCCGCTACAGTGCCCTCCAACGGCTTTCTTCCATGTGGCTTCTTCTGGGCTATCCGATCCACTTTTTCCAGAAATCCAACGGTAGACATTTTTTCCCGAAAAAAAAAATCGAAAAACCCCCCCCCCCCCCCCCCCCCCCCCCCTCTCTCTCTACGTGGCTCCTTCTGTGGCTCCTTCCGATCCGATAATTTTTCCTCCAATCCAATTGCAGCCAATATTTTGTAATAAAAAATTGAAAAAAAAACCAAAAAATTACTTTTTTTTCTTCTCTTTATACCTTATTTCCATTTACTTAAGTTTACAATGTAAATAAGGAAGTACCCCTTATTTGGGTTCAAATAAAAATACTAGAAAATCAAATTCCCACCAAATCAAAATATGAAAAATACGTTTTAGTGCAAAATAGGATTTAGGCTAAAAATGATGGCTCATTAAGTCAATATATACTTCGTATTAAAATCCCATAAAATCAAGTTTTCTTATTTGATGTGTAAGGAATAAAAGCCGCCAAAAATTATCTTGAGAAAATTATTATTCCGAAAAACCATTTTTCATACTTAGTCAATATTGCACCTCCGCTAAAAAAATTCTGGGTCCGCCAGTGTCTATAAATACTAACCAATACTCTTCACTTTTAACACCAAATCCTCATACTTTTTTTTTCTTTCTATAAATACCAACCAATACAACTAATAAAACAAAATCTTATCCGAAAATATTATACGATAAAATAAAATCTTGCCTTTCATTTCTTAGTTTGCTTGCCTTTCATTTCATTGTATTTTTTGTTTTGTTTGAATAATTAGTGGTCATTCATGTATTTTATTTATTAGTTGTATTGATTTATCTAAAATTTGAATTTTGAAACCAAAAATCTTAACTGATATGAATAGTATTAACACGTAGGAACCCAAAAATCTTATCCGAAAATATTATCCAAATCAAATGTTTAAGTAAACAAAGTTGTGAAAGAAAAACAAAAAAATGAATAGTACTTGCCATGACAAGCCTAAACTGCTGGAAACACACTTTACTGGGAGTTAGGGCAGCTACTATTCACGTAAATAGTAGCTGTCTTAGAGCTCCCCTTGTCATGACAAGGGGCTAACTGGTGGAAGTGCTCTAAGCAGTGAAATCTTTTCCTGCCAACCAAACGCCGCAGAAGGGTTTCGAGTGTGTAAAACGTTTTTTGCCGCTATTGTTTAGCGCGTAAGAGAAGCTATGGCTCCCCCCCGTATTGTAATATATTAATGTCACTCATACTAGTTTCAAAACCATTCAGCGCCTCCATCAGTATTTTCTTTCTGCACGGAGTTTATTATATTATTTTACTTCTCTCCCATTTGGTATTTGTCCAGTCACTTCGATTAGCTTCTCAAACTAAAACAGCTCTCAATCCTCAATATTCCCACATAGCTTTGTTCGCATATTCAAAACCCCTTCAAGATTCAGGGTTTGCCAAGATCTATATATTCCTGTCAAGCTGCTTCTGATTGTTCTACTCTATATTTCATGATTCATTTGATTCTTGATGACTTGGGCACTGGGTTTTGGCGTAAAAGGTAAATTTGGGTTGGAGGGTATTTGAAGAAAGAGCAGAAGGGTCTATTTATTTGTTGGTGGTGGGTTTGTGATTCGTAGTGTGAACTGGTTGACTGGGTGTTTGATAAAAAGCGCCAGAGGGGTTTTTTTGGGGTGGAAATATGGGACATAGTTCGAAGAAGAAGAAGCGTGGAGGAGGAGGGAGTGGGAAGAAGAAGAAGGCCTTGAAAGATCATGGGGCTCATGTTGGTGGTGATGATAATGAACTTCTTTCTGAAGAGATCACTGCCTTGTAAGTGACTCTTCTTCTTAAACCCTTTTCTTCTTCAAGGGAATTGACTAAAAACTGCATATGGGGAAAACAATGTAATCATCATGAACAGCATGGGATGAGAACTTGAACAGTTGCACAGAACTGGATGCATATTTGACAACTTTGGATATGGTCCAAGCCTTATAGGGCTTAGGACTATCAGAAATTCAAATGGATTAATTGATATATGTTTTTCAAATGAAAATGGAAACTGTACTTTTGAAAATAAATTTTGTTACACGAATCCAAACAATAATGTTCCTTTTTAAGGTAAGGTGGGTCTTGTAGATCAGAGGACAAAATAATGAAATTCTTTTCATTTTACTATATTTTGGCCAATATAAACCTCTGACAGTGGTTTCAGTGTCATCACTGAAATGGATTTGATTCGAATGCACTATTTGAATTGTGGTTTTTCTTTTCATTTGCCCTTTTGCACCGTATGCTAGTCACTGCACAACAGAGCATGTTTTGCATGGGGGTTGCATTTTGTCCCATTGTGTCTAAAGCTTATCCTCTACCCATAATCACGTTGTATTATATTTGATTATCACACGTTTTCCATCCGCTTCCTTCTCTTGTAGTTACTTTTGGGTATTCAAGGGTGCTAGTTTAGTCACCTTTTGGGTCATTTGAGGAACATATCTGGATTTTTTTTGGGTGTTCAAGTGTTCTAGTTTGAGCCTGCTGGGTTCTTTTCTCTGTATTTTCTATTTTTAATGTAATTTTATGGGCTTCTAGCTCAATCCTTGGGAGGTGTGAAGGAGACTGTAGATTGGGGAGAGGTAAGATTTAGGTGATGCAGTAGATTAATAGTAATCTTTTTATTTGGTCCACTGTGAGCCTCCAAAACCGGAGAGGGTCTATTTAACCTCAGGCATTTCATACAACTCAAAGGGATTAATCTATTTGACAGAATTTTTTTTTTGTTTGTTTATATTTCCCTTTTTTGTTCTTAGTAATTTCTTATGACTTCCTTACAGTCACATTGGATGCTTTTCTAAATTTAAATCAATAATTTACGACTCGATTTGAGCGTTGTGCATTGTTTTTTTTTTGGGTAAATGGTTACTTCTAGAGCAATTTAGTGGTTTCTTTATTTGTTTTCCCTTTCTTTCGGGGTTATTCGGGTGCCTTTCCTCTTCTGTCCCCTTATATGATAATATCCATTATTTATCTGGACAAGAAAGAAGGCATGACCACAGAAAATGTTTCATAAAATTTTTGATGTCGGAAGATTCATGGTTAAAAATTTTTATAGTTCTACATTATCTCCTACAAAGCGTAATATTATATTTATGGTTATGTAATTGAAGTAACACAGTTGGCTCTTCCTGGTATTTGATTACAAAACCTACCACAAAATTCTATTACAAAATGTATTTCTGTTCCAGGGACAATAAGATGGTTGTAAATTAATGTCTGTATATATATTTTTTTAATTATGCAAATTGTAAGGTATTATGTTTTTAAAAATGCTGATGCTTCTGTTTGAAACATTCATGATAATCATCTAAGGAATTTAATTCTATCTCATAATTTTATTGCTATTCTTCTGTGACGTTTAGGTGTGCAATATTTCAAGACGATTGCAAAGTTATGTCTGGATCCCATCCTCAAATAATCATTAAGCTTAGGTATGTCTTATTTGTTTATAGATGAATGCAATAGATCTAGATTCTAGACTAGACTCCTCTTGATTGACTTTTGTTCTCTATTGTAACAGGCCTCACTCGAAGGATATGGGTTATGAGGATCTAGATGTTTCTGCACTTCTTTTAGTTAGGTAAGTGAGGTTCTGTTCAATGTTGCTTTTATTTAAAGTTAATGCATATTGCTTCAATCCTTCTCATGGATCTTAATATTTTTGTTTAATAGGTGCTTACCAGGGTATCCTTACAAGTGTCCGAAGTTACAGATAACTCCTGAGAAGGGTTTATCACAAAGTGATGCTGACAGGCTGCTATCTCTTATTCATGATCAGGTATTATTCCTTAACCAGGATTTGATAAATCTTCAAGAAGTTATTCTATACTGGAGTGGTTGATGTGGTTATAAATGCAACTTTTATTTCCCTGAATCATAACAACAGTATATGCCTTAGCGGCTGCTAGCCCATTGACCAAGTGATGTAGGACATGGGTGAATCGAGTGTTTAGGTAATTTAGCGGAAGTGAAAATAATGGAAAACAGAAAATAGAACAAACATGGATAGGTCTGGAATCACTCCAGGGGTTTGGCTTCACACCAAGAAGTCTCCAATCTCTGGAAAATAAGCTTTACTCAATATCTCAAATCTCAACTTCCTAATGAATTACATGAGACGGGAATTTATAGCAAACTAAAACCTAGAGACAATAGGATAAAAAATCCCTTGCTAAAACAGAAATTCTAACCTAAATAAAATAGGAAACTTAAAAATCCTACTAAAATCTGGAAAACTTAAAAATCTTACTAAAATCTGGAAAACTTAGATAACAAGTTAGAAACTAATCGCAGGAATAAAAAATTGCCAGGTTTAAGGACCAAATTAAATGACTTCCTCTCCCATCTCTCTCTTTTGTAAACCCTAATGGGTTTGACAAAGATGTCCTCGTCACCAAGTTAGTTTTAAACTTTTGATATAATGAAGTATAAATATGAGGTTAATTTTCCAAAAGGCCACTTTACCTGAAACAAACTGTGCTCTTCTATCCAATATTCATTTCAAGAAACAAATTCATGTAAATATATACACTTGCATGGAGAATATCATTGGTTAGTCTTCTACATAATAAACTTGTTTGCTTCCAATGCCTTATTTTGTAGGGCTCTGATCTATTCTTCTTTTATTTGTTCTGTTTCAGGCAAATTCTAATGCTCGAGAAGGACGGGAAATGATTTTCAATTTAGTAGAGACAGCCCAGGAATTCCTATCTGAAGTTGTGCCAGTGAGCCAATCACATGGCTCGGTAAGACTTTTTAATCATCATATTAGTGCATTTGTTTGTGTGAGCAAATGCATATACAAATGGTATATGTATTATATCGATATATTACATGTGTGAAACATCTTTCATGTAGATATTTTCTTCTTGTTCTGTTATTACACTTTTGTTTTGTTGATTCAAATGTGTATGCAATTCTGAATAAAGATGATTACTACTTGTCATCTTCAAGGTCTTGATTATTCTTGGATTTTGACATTCTCGCATTGGTATGCCAATCCCATGTTTTGTTATCTGTAGTTTAATTATAGAAAGTACTTGAATTATAGACAACCAAATGATTATAAAAATTAATTGCATTTTATTCGTATCATACATGATACTGTAGGTACATGGTACATGATTTTAAGACAATATAATATTGGCAACTACAGAGACTACATTTTTTCTATATGTTATTTTGAATTTGATGAGAGATTTTTAGTTTTAAGCTTTTTCAACATGTAGAGAAAACTTCACTTCACATTTCTTAACAAATTTTTTGACTTTTCACTACTTCCCTGCTGATTATCCAATTGATTGATTTTTTTGTTATATTTATTTCAAATGGAAGGTAATATGTCCGACTACGGGTAGCAATGCTCAATTGTTTCAGAAGGACGTTGCAATCTCAAGTAACAAGAAGGGGCCTTTTGTTTATGGTTTCATAGACCTATTCAGTGGTTCTGGAGAGTCTTGGAATTGGGGTTTTGGAATAGATGAGACCAGTGGGATAAATCCTTCAGTCCCATCGCACACAGTGGATGGCTCCAAAGGCAAGCATGAGATTCAGGAAAAGAAACTTGATAGGCGTGCAGAACCTTTGAATTTGCAAGATATAAAGAAAAGTTCATTACTTTCCTCTACTGTCAAATTAGATGGCCTTGAAGAAGACAGTGAAGATGGCCACAAGAGCATAGCTTCTACTGATTCTAGTAGATTTTTGTTGGAAGAATTGGTACGCAATGGTGGTAAAGCTGAGAAAGAGGTGAGTAATATACTACCTTCTTTTGTAGATAATATAACATGCTTTTATTTGATTTTTAGTGCACAATTTTGCATGAATTTCACATTACATATATGTTCTTTTATTGTCTCTTTGACATATTACATATATTGTATCTTTTTTCGTATTTACTCTTGTATCTTTTCAATATTAAAGTATGACTAGAGATCTAGCAGCCTGTTAGAAGGCACAATAAGGAGATTTGAGGACAGATTATTATATATGGTTTTGCTGTCTTTGGTTGGAGAGATATAGGAGGGCTTTTGTTTGGAAGGAACATTTTGTTTTGGAGTTGAAAGATCACCTTTTTTCTAAGCTTTATTCGAATTCTCTCAAAGGCGATATATATTTTCTTCTGCAGTAGATCTTTGGTTTTGTCTCCACTTCTACCATTTGTGCACTGAGCTACAGGTGAATTGACATCTTATTGCTCCAAAATGATTGAACCCTGGAGTTCTCTTGGTATGGTAATAAAATGAATCATACCCCAAGGCTGAAGAACAATTTTTTATTTTTATTTTGTGTGGATGAATGAAGGTGGAGGGAAGTTAGAACAAGTTATACCAGAAACCCATTGCATAGAAGGCAAAGTGACCTAGAGAGCATTTGTTCTTTCTGGACATTCTTGTTTGATAATGTCGTTTCGGTTTTGCTGTCTGTTTCTGTATAGAAAGTTGTTTTGGACATCCTTTGATACCACAATATACTTCTATCCTTTGACAGAATTTGGTTATTGAGGAGGATTCAACAGAAGATGATTGCGAATTCGGAAGTGAACAATCAGAGTCACTCTCGTTTGCTTCCTTGGGTCATGATCAAGTGTCTCAAACCGTTAAAAAGGATCTTATAATGGTAATATCATGTATTCTTTTCTTTGTACACACAGAATTTGATCCTAAACTTTCTATTGGGTGCTGTTTCCTTTTATGTTAGGTTCATCTGCTCCGTCTTGCCTGCACTTCTAAGGGACCACTGGCTGATGCTTTGCCACAAATAACCACAGAATTGGAAAACTTAGGGGTATGCAGTTCAATTCATCCTGTTTAGTTTTGATAACTTATACTTTCCAGATCCTTATCTCTGTTAATTTCATTTCCAGATGTTATCGGAATGGGGAAGGGATTTAGCATCTAAACCACCTTCACTTTTGAATAGAACATTTAATCATGCTTTTAGAGAACATATGGTAGGTCATCCCCCTTCTTCTTTTCTTTGTTGCTATGAACTGGCTTCTAAAATCAAATTCACATTACTACATGCCTTGTTAATTTTATCTAGGTTTCATCGCGAGTCTCTCAATTTTATTTTATCTAGGTTTCATCGCGAGTCTCTCAATTTGGGAACCCACATCTGATTTTGAAGGGCCAAGTACATCTCTTCCAAGCTCTCGATATCTTAGTGACTTTGAGGAGCTACAGTCCCTTGGTAAACGAAAATTCTTGTTCTTTTTTTTGTGTTTTTTTTAATGTTTTGTTTTCATCTTAGCTTAATGTTGTTCTTTCACTGTGTGTGTGGCTACTAGGTAGATAGTTAATTAGGAGATCTCAGTTGGTTGAGCTAACTATAGTTTGGTTAACAAATCCAATAAAGGTTTGTAGATCCCAGGGGGTGCCCATCCATGGTAGACATAGAAATTATTAAGTGAGATGATATTTTACCAATAATGCATAAGAGGTTTTCATGCCCAAGAGGAAGTATAAAATTTCTTGTGTTGTTGATGTATGCTATGCAAAAGCACTTGAAAAGCAGCTTGTCATTGTAATTCTTGCCCTTCATTTTAGCCTTAAAGGGTGCAAAACTGTTGCAGTGGCATTATTGTAACTAATAGGACAGCATTATGAAAAGGCTCTTGTGTAGAAATATGTAACTTCTCCCCTTCATTCTCCCAAGCATTTTGAGTTCAAAATCTAGATCAAAATGGATAGAAAAGTTGATGATGAACAAGTGATAGTGGTTAAACTGGTTCAGTTGGATGAAGTTGAAGGTTATTATTTTTTCCATAGACTTTTGGGTTTGAAGGTACAGGTGTTGGTGGATGATAAAATGATGTGGATGCTAAACCCACATCCCTCGAGGGAAACAACCAGAATACTATCATTCATCTCAAGTGGTGAGTTCGGAACCTCCTAAGTTGGCAAGATTATCCATAGTGGAGAACGCCATTAAAGGCATGAGGATTCATGTGAGCATTGCAAGTGAAAAAGCAAAGGAAGAGAGTAATTCATTTCCTACTGCGCTATTGGATAGCCAAAGATGTAATATCAGTATTCTTACCTCTATTTGGTGTTTATTGGATTGTGTCAGTTATTACAAATGGAATTGCTTGGAAGTTGTACCCTTTAGTTTGACTTATTGTGCCTGGGGGAGTAAAACTGCTTATAAATAAAAAAAAAAAAAAAAAAAAAAAAAAAAAAGTAAGAAGCGTCAAGGGTCAAGGTTTCTGTATATAGTTTTTGTTTCCTTTAGCTTGGCGAGGTATGTGTTTCGGCTTGATGTGGAGGCAGTTGTGTTCGTGCAATAGGAATCGTTTCAAGTGTTAGGAGCTTCCAAACCTTAGTTCGGCGTTTTTTTAACTGACCATTTGATTTCCTTTGTGCTTACTGGTTTTTATGCTTCTTGGACTAATGTTCTGGTCTTCATGGATGGCTTTGAGTTTTAGGAGCATACATTTTCTTTTAATTTTGACACATTGTTTCTCTCATTTTTTTAGGGGTTTTCTCTTGTATATTCATCTCTTACTTGCACTGTACATGACATAGTTTTTAGTTTTTAGTTTTCAGTTTTCAAAAGAAATTTAGTTTTATTATAACCAGTGAGGTTCTTTTCTCACACTGGTAACAGGTCATGGAGGCTTTGGCCATGTTGTATTGTGCAAAAATAAACTAGATGGAAGGCAGTATGCAGTGAAGAAAATTCGACTCAAGGATAAAAGCCTGCCAGTTAATGACAGAATATTGAGGTATATTAGTGTTTGCCACAATCTGATTGAAATTTAGGATCATTTAGCTTAGACAAACTTTATCTTTTCATGAATCATATGTCAGATTGATTTGTGATGTGTGAATGGGTTTCCATTTTGTTCATTTTAAAATAATATGATATATAATAAATATAAAAGGCAAAGTGTGCATAATTCTGTTATGGAAGGAAATTAATCATGGAGTGAACTTTGGTTTGGTTACTGGGATTAAGGGGGTTGTAATCAATTAAAAGTTCTGTAGATTCTTATAGAGTTTTTAAGTGACGAGCTGTTGTAGACTTCATAATTTTTGTTATGATTTTTGTATTGGGCCAAAGGGATGACTTTAAGTGGACAACCTTTGAAGAACTTTATGTAAGTCTGATAGGTTTTGGCAGATTTCTTTCATGTATTTTTACAGATTCTTGAAGAATATATTCTCTCATGTTTAGGTGATTTTTTGACAAATAAATTTTAAGATGTATCTTTGGCGGAACTTAACAGTAACCTAAAGATCTGCAACCCGTAGGCCTGGTGGGCTCAGACCAATTATCTTTTGGCCTGCCCCAAACTGCAAGACACGTGTCTAAGCCGACCCATAGCCTAGATTTCATACCCTTAACCCTTTTTGTTTTCGGTATCTTTTTTTATTCATTTTCCTCTTTATGTTTTTTTTCCTACCATTTTTCTCATTGATACTTGTTAGTTTGTTTTGTATTGATAGTTTTTTTTTCTTTCTAACAAACTTGTTTACTTCTTTAAGCTCTTACAAACCTTTCTTGTACAATTATTTGTATTCAACATTTTTTCGCCCATTCATACATTTCAATCAATAAAATGCTTCAACACATGTTTAAATCTTTCTAATATATATTTAGCTATATGTTTAAAATATGTAGTTGAACATAAATTTTGTCTGCTATTTTTTTCCCTATTATTTCTTCTAAATTTGTTGTGGTTTAACTTTGGCGAGATACTTAGGGAAGTAGCCACACTTTCTCGTTTGCAGCATCAACATGTTGTACGATACTATCAGGTAAAACCTTTCTTATTTCCTGCTTTTGCATTGTGGCATGTATCTGTCCTCAATTATGCAATAATTTCTTTGTTGTTTTTAGCTTCTATGAATTTGTATATTCGATATTGTCCTGGCTTGCATTTATTTCAAAGCAGCTTGCCACTTTATTTGGGTGACTATTCTTTAATTAGAAAGCTATTTGCTGGCAATCTTTTGTTTCCACAATGGTCCTAATATTTGCAATCATGTGCAGGCGTGGTTTGAAACAGGTATTATTGGTGCTCATGGTGATACCACTTGGGGTTCAATGACTGCAGCCAGCTCCACCTTCAGCTTCAAAGGTACAAACTCAGCAGATGCTATTGGGCATGAGAATAAGCTTGAATCGACATATCTGTACATTCAAATGGAATATTGCCCTAGGTAAAACTTCTATTTAGATTCAGTTCTTATCTTAAGATCTTCTCAAAGAATAACATTTTGTGATGTGTAGTGATTGATTAGTTTTCTACCATTTGACATCTGTAATTACTGAAACCAGGTTCATCCTGGTATGTTTTGCGCCATTGCATTACCCTTATTTCTTTATGTGACTGAGAACATTAAGCTATGCCAAAATTTTGTTGTCAGTAAAACTTTTTTATTTTATTATTACCAACCTGATCTGAGTCCAAGTAAGGTATGTGGTTTATTGGTTGAGAGTTCATCATTGATACTGTCTCAATGTAAAATAGGTGAAAGGTATGCAAGATTGAAAAAAAATTGAAATCAATAATAAGCGTACAAATGAGATGCACGAAACTGTCTCTACTGACCTTTTTTTTTGGTTTATTCTCTATCATCCCTTGAACTATGTAGCATGTCTAGTTTAGCTAATCATCTGCAAATGAGGTTGGTTTGCCAACAACCCCTTATTGAACAAAGATGTGCGTTTTGGTTTTCATATGGTTGAACTTAAGATTATTTCATTCTGTCAATTTGGTTTCATAAATCCCTTAAAATTTGTTTGCTTGCTGAATTTTCTTATCATATGTCGTTTTAATTTTTCATGTCTTTTTTGGTATGGTTTGAAGGACTTTACGCCAGGTTTTCGAGTCGTATAGTCGTTTAGACAAAGAATCTGTATGGCATTTGTGTCGTCAAATTGTTGAAGGCTTGGCACACATACATGGACAGGGAATCATTCATCGGGACTTAACCCCAAGTAACATATTCTTTGATGCGCGCAATGATATTAAAATTGGGGATTTTGGTCTGGGTAAGTTCCAGATTTTGTAATATTTACTCCATAGTAAGTGTTAGTTTGAGAACTATGCAGTCCAATTTTTATGCACCTGCAGTCGGGTCCTTTTAAAAGCATTTTGTCAAGAATGCCAGAGGAAATTCAAACAAGCTTACTGTATACCAATTCTTATAACCGCGAGAACATGGTTGGAAAGTGCATGGGGATGAGCTTCACACTTCATGACTATTTTCTGTCGCAAACTACTGTTTCAAATGAAAGTCTGTTTCTTTTGGACATACCAATTTTCCATTTGTAGAGGAGTCTCCTGGTTGATAACATGAAAACTATTTACACACATAACTCATGCATTTTATACTCAAAGATGTTTGCTAAAAGTCAAGATTTGTATGCTTAACAATAATGTAATTTGTTTTGTTTCAGCCAAGTTTTTGAAGTTGGAGCAGTTGGATCAAGAACCTAGTTTTCCTCCAGATACAGCTGGGGTTTCTCTTGATGGTACTGGCCAAGTTGGTACATATTTTTACACTGCTCCTGAAATTGAGCAAGGATGGCCGAAGATTGATGAAAAGGTAAGTGTTTGATTGTACTTATTTTTGTTATTTTTTTTCAATAATTTACACAACATGGAATGTGCTAGTTGTGCTTCAGCTTTAATTGCATGTAATTTGTTTTTATTCAAAATAATATCAGGTAAACATCATTGAGTCAACTTGGATTGCAGGCTGATATGTACAGCTTGGGAGTTGTATTCTTCGAGCTATGGCACCCATTTGGGACGGCAATGGAACGAAACCATGTCCTATCTGATTTGAAACTGAAGGGTGAACTTCCTCCTGCTTGGGTTGCTGAATTTCCTGAACAGGCATCTTTGTTGCGACGCTTAATGTCTCCAAGTCCATCAGATCGTCCTTCTGCCACAGAACTTCTAAAGCATGCATTTCCACCACGAATGGAGTCCGAGTTATTAGACAGTAAGTGGCAATTGTGATCTTTGTATTTACCTTATTAAGCTAATCTAAGTAGAGGAGTGAGCAGCTTGCAAGCATGGTTCATTTGCATCTCTAACTATAATGTTCCATCTATTTAAAAGCTCTGCTATGCTTCTTTGATCTAATTGCAAAATAATATAGCTGTAGTTGTTAACTCTGTGATACCAACCGTATATTTAACATTTAAACATTTGTACAACTTAATTAAAATACCTTTAAAAGGTCAAACAATAATAGAGGATAAATGAGAATAACCAAGTAATATAATGTGATAGACAGGGTTTCCAAGTTCCAATACTCCTCTCAAGCTGCGGGCAAGATGTCCTTGAAGTGCAGCTTAACTATAGAAGCCTGAAGTAAGATGACCTAACTGGTTTTGCAGACATATTAGCTCTCTGCTTGAATGGTGGAACAAATGCTAAGGCAATGACACCAAAGTGAACCTTCTCCTCTAATAAAGTGAATATCAGCCTCCATGTGCTTCATTAACTCATGTAAAACAGAATCCGAAGCAAGTATAACGGAAAATTCTTATCACAAGATAATGTAGTTGAATTCATTGCTGTAAATCCCAGCGCCTGAAGAATTGATCAAAGCCATAAGCCTTTGCATGATAACAGAGGATCTAGAGACTACATGTTGCTTCGTTATTCCCATGGAGGGTATATAACATTTATATGGACCAATGATTTATACATGCACTAACATAGTTCACATTAGTGAAACATGAGCGCGACTTCAAATAACGTAAAATGTGGTGAACATCCAAATGAAATGTCCAAGGTAAGGTGTCTAGCCTACATCCAAGAATCCCAGTATGCTGTAACAAGCCCAACCCCAAAATAATGCTCTGTGATAAAGATACTGCATGAGTCAGCTTGTCCAGAGGACCTATTCATTCTTTTTTCTCAAACTCGTCAGTACTTCATATGTGTTCAAGTCCTAATAACCTTTTGGAATCACTCAATTCTGTGGGGGATATTTGGTCATCATGACAGTTTCCTTTCTTTCATGGTATTTACAGATTATAATTTGTTTTTACCTAGTGCTTGGCCAGCATGTGCTCAAAGGAAGGATGGTGAAGATGTTTCTTGTGATTCATAATATTTACACTTGTTCTTCTTTCCAAGCATATGTAGAATTTTATAACTGATTCAAGATGAGTTTTGAGTAGCTTGACTAAATGATTTCCTTCAATATGATCAGATATTTTACGAACAATGCAAACTTCAGAGGACAGAAGTGTATATGATAAAGTTCTGAATGCCATCTTCGATGAGGAGATGTTAAGCATGAAAGATCAGCAACATCATGATGGAAGATTGGGATCTGTAAGCGATATTTCTGCTATTCAGTACGCAGATTTACACACTGAGGCTCGTGATTATGTTGTTGACAGCACAAGGGAGGTGTTCAGACAGCATTGTGCGAAACACCTCGAAGTAATAACCATGCGTTTGCTAGATGACTGCCAACAGTTCAATAGGTTCCTCTCTTGAACTCTTTGTAGCCGTGTTTACTATAATGTTTACTGTTACGTTCTCTTTCTTATTATATGCTAGTTCATGCTAATTATTTGTTATATCTTACAAGGAACACTGTCAAACTTTTAACCCATGGAGGAGATATGCTTGAACTTTGTCATGAGCTGCGCTTGCCTTTTGTTAGTTGGGTGATCTCCAGCCAGGTATTAAACATATCGAAATAAATATGACTTGTTGCATGTTTTTCTTATCCCTTTCATTCTTGTTGTCCAACATACAGCAAATGAAGTTTTTAATTTTTAAGTCAAGTCGTTATCCCTTGGCTGATCATGCTATCCTAATTTAACTCTCACATGTTTGTGTCATGTTCTGCACCTTTGAAGTTCTGCTTGGGTTTTGTTATTTTTCTTCTGGAAGCTAAGCGTATTTATATACTAAGTAGATATTGTCCATGCAATGCATAGATTGGCAATATTATCAGAAAATAGGTTGTGTATTAAAAGAAACTAGTAGTTTGATAAATGGTTGAAGTAAAAACAGTAAAGTGATTTAAGCTGTTTATTATATATGCTAGAAATGTAATTAGCTCATAGAAATTATCTTGTATGTAAGTATTAAAATATAATAGAAAATGATATTTGCTAGAGGATCAAAGAAGATGAAAGTTCTGAAGATAGATCACTGCCAACAGAAAGTGGGAAAGATGCATTTGATCCTGATTTGAGCAGGAGCTGTAACTTTTATTTGTGTTGGGCTGCTAGCTTTATAACATAAATTTTTTTCGAAGATAAAAGCAGTATAATGTTTCCATCAAACAACCAATGCCTAGTTTTAATCATGTATTCCACCGTTGCAAAGTCCTGAGGACTTTATTCAGTTGACAATGATTTCTGTGGAAGAGGAAATCACTGTTTTATTCTCAACTGAGATAGGTTTCTTTATAAGATGAAATCATTGCTTTATACAGTTTATATTATTCTACCTGCTTCTTTTGTATCTAAAATTTTAAGTTAAAGTCAGGGGGAATAACTTGGCCATTCTACTTGTAGAAATCTTCATTCAAACGTTATGAAGTATCATATGTGCACAGAAGACCCATTGGACATTCACCCCCAAGTCGCTACCTGCAGGTATTATTAAATGGATGTTTCTTATAGGTGTTGGTCTGTCTCTGTCTGTCCGTCTGTCTCTCTGTCTCTGTCTGTCTGTCTGTCTGTCTGTCTGTCTGTCTCTGTCTCTGTCTCTGTCTCTGTCTCTGTCTGTCTCTGTCTCTGTCTCTGTCTCTGTCTGTCTGTCTGTCTGTCTGTCTGTCTGTCTGTCTCTCTCTCTCTCTCTCTCTCTCTCTATATATATATATATATTATCTTATTAGAATTTTGATGTTTATATTCAAAAGTTAACTGTATTTTCTCAATGATTTTCTGTCTAAGTTGATGTATGTTTTACTACCTTTACTGTCAACAGGGCGACTTCGATATTATTGGAGGTGCATCAGCATTAACAGAGGCAGAAGTAATCAAGGTGATACATTATCTGATTTATTTATCTATATGCGTGTGTGTGTCTGTTGGCATGCATGTGTGCATGTCACACGAATGTTTGTGTGAACTTATTCGAGGATATAATGTAAACTGATGCATATTCTTTTTTATATTTAATGAAAAGTCCAAAGACTCATTTTGATTTTTATTTCTGTTTTTGTAAAATAATAATTGCGGCGTGGGAACATTAAGAAGTTGTGCAGTAATTTCTAAAATATTTACTGCTGTATGCATTGTGAAAAATTTATTTGTTGACAGACCAAATTCTTTTCCTGGTTAAATACCAGAAAAGGATCACTGTCAATACCTGAATATTTTGGAATCCGTTATACTGAAAGGATTTAGGCACAGGGGTACTTCAACATTTTGTTTTTTCTCATCTTTCCCAAAAAGTACTAAGAATTCTGGGGTGTAGCGAATCCAAAGCGAAAGTGATGTGAATGTTATGGTATTGATATATATGTTGCAATCTTTTGCATAGTAGCGTCCCCAATTTAATTACTTAATTGTCGTTTGTTTCAGCAAGTACTATGGTATTTCTAGCCAATATTATTTATTTGTTGGCAATTCACTGGCATGCACTGGCCAATGGTTTGTGTGGTAGCGTATACTTAACAAGTGTGTCTCATCTTGCAGGTGACAAGGGACATTGTTGCTCGTTTTTTTAATTCAGATTTTTGTGATATTCATCTAAACCATGGGGACTTACTGGAAGCAATTTGGTCTTGGGTAGGAGTCAAGTCAGAGCATAGACAGAAAGTAGCAGAGGTAAACAATTAATGTATTAGGGACATTTCCGTAAATGATCTGTGTGTATATTACCATTAATGATACTCATTGATGCTACCCTTAATGAATGAAGCTCCTGTCTATGATGGGCTCTTTACGTCCTCAATCCTCTGAGCGGAAATCCAAATGGGTGGTAATCCGGCGTCAGCTTTTGCAGGTTTGATAAAAATTATAATGTACTTACACTTTCGAGCCTGTTAACAATTATAATTGGAACTACCGACATCAGCAGACCAGATGTTCATGTCTTTATGATTTGCTATATAGTTTAACATGTAGAAACCAAATAGGATTTGTAGCTGGTGTGATTACCTTGCTATATTTTTATTTATTTTGTCTTCAAATTTAGTTCAGGTTGTGCATGGAAACTGATCCTGCATTTTTAGGAGTACTTTATTTTTCCCATCAATAGTGAAGTGAACAATGTAAGGATTGTGAAATGCTTTTCCATGGACCAACTAATAAAAAGGATCAAATTATAAAAACTCAGTATATTTTTTCATGGGAGCTGATTTTTCCACTCCTCTTTTGTTCACTTACGCTCCTTTTTTTGTTATAGTAAAAACTATTAAAAAAAAAGGGAGTGTAAGTGGAACAAAAAAAATCCCCACCCTTTATAAGGAGCGTACTTTCAGTAATAAAAACAGGGGAGAAGTTGTCCACTGGACAAGCAGACTAAACAAGTACAACAGTAACTCAGATGAAAGCATCCTATCATTACATTAATGAAACCTAAGATACAGCAGCACTCCAATCATGAATAAATACTGAAAAGAACTTCCCTAGACTATAAAGTAACTGACACCCAAAGGTAAGCCCAAAAGAAAACTCTATCCTACAGATGATCCACTCCCTCATCCCTTGCTCCTTCAATTATCCTTCTATTCCTCTCCAACCACACTACCCAGAATTGTCAGCACAGCAGATCTCCATACCTTTTTAATTTTTCTAAGTTTCTAAATTATAGAAACTTTGCCTCTGTAGAGAAAGCTATGGAAGTGCATCCTTCGAGGGGCTGATTAGGATTTAACCAATTTTTTTAGCCCCAGTAGACAACGCCATTGTCTCTCTTTGAGACACAGTAGATTCCAGCATAGCCTTGAACTTTAAGGGTTGGACTTAAATCCTATTTTGGTGAATCACTGGAAAAAAAAAAAAAAAAAAAAACTTTTCTAATTTTCGTAAACGTGGGTTTTGTCCGTTATTTTCTATAAAATAAGTTACTTGAAGGTTGGTTCTAGGTATACATATCCTATGTCTTCTTTTAATCCATGTGTGTTTGTCATTATTTTAGTTCTCTTTTAGAATATGTGAAGCAAGGCTCCTAACAAAGTTCATATGTCCCCGTGTCCCTTTTATGAAAAATACCTATTTTAAGTGCATGAGTTAATACTTTCATCAGGGACATTGTCCAGTTGTGTTCTTCCAAATACCTAGCAGGAATATAGTGCTTGTCTTGGTGTTCGGAAGCATTTTGATATGTCCAATGAAATAAGTTATGCAGGTGGTGTGATTTTACTGTGGGTTTCTAAGGATTAAATAGCTTACATTGCTTCAAGTTCTAGTGTATCTGGCATTTTGTTATGCTAACATGTATCACTCAGTCAATTGGCAGATCCAACTTGGTCAATTGGGATTCATAATTCAATTGACTGGCATCTAACTGGTTCATACTAAAACAAAAAGGTTAGCAACACAAAAACTACATAATTAATTGCATCAACACATAAAAAGAACACTAATCATTTAGGTGGTTCAGAAACTTTCTGACATCCACCGCCACCTCTCTCTCAAGGATTGGTTTTGTGGCTCTCCGCTAAAATCAAATTGGGGTAGGTTCACCCTAAACTTCCACAATTGTATTGGTCAGTTTTCACATTAGTTACTGTACCCATGCAATTCTTAACCACGTTCATACATCTATACAAATGCTTTTCATGGGATTTTCTCCTGTGTTCCAAATTAAAACCTAGCATGTAGATTAGTTTTTACAATGGGCTTGTTGGCAAACCAAATCCTAAAGCACACTCATACCTCCATCCAATCTTTCCTCATTGACCTATAGATTCACTAACTCCTCTAAGCCAGACTCAAGGTTATGCTATGTGGGCCTCAATGTTTGCCCCTTATTGATAAGTGCTTCTCCAGGAAGCGCTTACTGGTCAATATGCAAGAAGCACTTGGATTTTTAATAGATCTTTTATGTGCTTCTTACAAAAAGTTCTAGTGGAAATAGCGCTACTGACTAGGGAGTAATAATGTGGTCTATGCAAAGTACTCCCAAACAAGTCCTAAGAGTCCTGGGAAGGTCCTGACCTAACTTTGATATGGAGCACACTCCATAAAACTCTGTACACAAGTCTACCTCTAACTCAGGATAAGGAAATTTATAACAGTCTGATCTCCCTGCTTAAACCTAGACTTGAAGAACTCCTCTAGCCCGTTGCGCTTAGAGATGTAAATTGAAACAGTTCAAACACTGTTGAAACAGGGATTGAATTACTCCAAATGCTGTTGAATCCAATATTCTTTCAAGGATAAATCTGGAAGCGCTGGAAATCTTAGAATCTGAGGGAAACTACAGAGAAGTTTTCCATTGAATGCTGAGTGGGTTCTACCTGTTTCATTGTTACAAGCCTAAATAACCTTCAAATACCCTCTGAATGACTGTTTTTAGTTGCAATCATTTATCAACCTTAACATGTCCTAGAATCCATTTCCCTTGCATAGATTGCATTTTTGTTAAATATTTAGGTCTGGTTAATGTTCTCCATGCATGCTATATGTTAGATGGGAGTACACCCTGTTGCACTGATTATTTATTTCTTTAGCTGGACGACTAACAATTTTATTGAATGATAAAAATTGTTGCTTTGTGTGTTTGTGTTTGGAATGGAGTCAATAAAACTTCGACATTTCTTATTGTATAAAGACTCGGTTGAGCTTCTCATATTTCCTATGAAAGCACCCATAAACACATATAAGTGTATGAGCTTCTCGTATTCCATTGAGTTTATGCTTGAATTTTCGATGCATCTAACAGATTTCATATGGTTAAACTAGCATAAAAAGAGTAATGTCAACTCATTTGTGAAATACATGTGAAAATAATTTATTTCTAAATATAATATGAGCAGAAAGGATTATATATTTTTATTAATTATTTCCTTTTACAGGAACTTAATTTACCAGAAGCTGTTGTAAATAGGTTGCAAACCGTTGGTTTAAGGTTTTGTGGAGCTGCAGATCAGGCACTTGCTAGACTGAGGGGAGCCCTGCCAACTGGTATTATTGTCATGTTTGATTATACATGTACATCAAATGAGCGAGGAGAATCATTTGCAGAAATTTAATGCAGATAAACCACGCGGAAGGCACTTGATGAGTTGTCAGATCTCTATAGCCACTTGAGAGTTTGGAGGATCGAAAGACATGTTTACATAAACCCACTTATGCCACCAACTGAGGGTTATCACAGAGATTTGTTCTTCCAGGTATCTTATCTTTAGATTTATTCTAATTTTCCCTTTTCTCTCCCAAAGAACCATAAGGATACTTAAGTATTTCCTATCATGAAAAGTCAATAAACTTATTCAAGATATGCATCTATGAGACAGTAATGCTATCCCGTAAGCATGTAGAATCGTTGAGGATTTACCTGAGTGAAGCACGGATGGCTGGTATGATCTTGAGCTACAGTGAGCTCCTAATAAAATTCTGTTATTGTAAGTTTATGGTTAATCTGGATGTGAACTATCCAGAACTTGAATGAGAAAGTGAAAGTAACACACTGATTGAATGAATTTTTAGCTTGTCTACACACAATAAACACAATGGACAGTTGAAGTGTGCATGGATTGATCCATTACTGAAAATAAAAATGTTTTACAACCAAATGGGTGTTTAAAAAATAATAGGTCAACATCGAACTGATTCTAGCAAATGACATTAATCAAGCTACTTCAATCATGTGATAACACAAAAAATTACATATATTTCAAGATTACACTGATCTGTCTGGTCACAGAACATTAAGAAAAGAATTCACTGCCCCCAAAACATATAATTTCATCTCAAATAACAGTTAAGTACAAAATAAAATAAGCAAATAATTCTAATACTACAACTTATTAAAACACGAATCTGAAATTCACACATTAGTTTCCTGATATATGTACTCTATGTGCATGCCCCTTTTGTTTTTGCAAGCATGTTCAAGTAATTTTGTTTTTTTATTATTATTTAGAAACATTTTTTATTAGGATATATGATAGAACATAAAAAGCAAACAAGGAGTCCAGCAACAAACTGGATAAAACTGTTTGAGTGATTTTGTTTATAAGAATTTTTTGTAATACATGTCCTATCAATATTCTAGTACGTGATTAATAATAAAATATATACATTCTCTCATACCAAGAGTTGATAAGAAATGAAATTTTTTTTTATTTTTTTTTATAGTATTTATTAAGAGTTGCAATTTCTTTCCCAGGTATATTTAGTGAAGGATAACAATCCTGGATCACTTACCGAAGGTACACTGCTTGCTGTTGGCGGTCGCTATGACTATTTGCTTCGTCAAATGTGGGGTCTTGAACATGTAGGTTATACACGTTTACTTTCTTCTAGTTACCTTTTGTTCTTTACAGCAATACTTGCCATTACCGGAAAACACAAGATTTTTTAGTATGTAGATGCAGGTGAACAGTTGAAATGTGCTTGAGCTCTTTCGCAACTTTTGCTACTGCCCTTAATAACTACCTAAATTACTCAATACAGAATTTAGAACTGAATGTTAATATACGTCTTTAATGTGACTATCGCATGGAACATTATACTTGAATTCTTCTTTGTTATAAAGCTCCACATGCTCCTGAAGTACTTTGACTATGTGAAGGTTCATGTAAATTAACCAATTGGATTATACGAAGAAATCAGGAGGTTTACGATAGCAAATCTTCCATATAATGCATTAAGACACGAGCAATGTGTTGAAGAATTTTATGATTATTAGTGGCTGTCATAATCCAAAGTGTTGCTCAGTTATTCTATTTGTTTGAATATGCAGTGGAAGTCATCTTTTCTCCACCTCCTTGTATCTCTCGATACATGTTTTTTTTAAAACATCTTTTAACATCTCTCTTAGTATAACGGAGTGGCTCAAGCATCAAATTTGATCTTTCTTCTTGTATTGGTTCTCTTTTTCTGTTGTATGGTTATTTTTCATTTTCAACCATATTTCTTGAATTATACTGTGTTTAGTTTCGGTTGATTCAGTCAGTGAAGTTGTTTACCATGCTAGTGCTATTTCAGATGCTCAGAGATATTGATATGTTTATTAATTTGTCACATTCTCTATTCTCAGTTGCAATTAATATTGCATTTTTAAAAATGGTGTATTAGTGTAGAGGTTTATATCTAAGACTTGCACCTAGTTACGATGTGTCTTGGAAGATTTTGGTAGGTCTTGCATTTCCTTTATAGTGAACCATTTTGAAAGGTAATAGGAAAAATATTACCGACCATATAAAAGATATTTATGTTACACTTACGTCTAACCTTTTCTCTTGTTCCTACATTGATAATGGTTTCTGTTTTCTGTTTGTCAGAAATCAAACCCTCCTGGTGCTGTTGGAGCCAGCCTTGCATTAGAGACAATAATTCAGCATTCTCCCCGTCGATGTTAAACCAATCAGGTAGATATTTACTTGTTTGTTTATTTATTCTATCTTGTAAAGTTGCCATCATGGTTCACTATCTTTAATTTAATACATTTCTGTCTTTTTTCTTTATTTTCATTCTTGCAGATATGAAGTTAGCAACGATGTTCTTGTTTGCTCGAAAGGAGGTGGTGGTCTATTGGCAGAGCGCATGGAACTAGTCGCTGAGCTATGGGAGGAGAACATCAAGGTTTTGAGACAGAATTTTTTAAGATTTAGGCTACAGAGTTATTGGTAATTGATGTGTTGTGCTGACTAGTGAGTCTTTTATCTATCAGGCTGAGTTTGTTCCAATACCAGATCCAAGTTTAACAGAGCAGTATGAATATGCAAACGAACATGATATAAAGTGCCTTGTCATCATAACAGACACAGGGGTTTCACAGAAAGGTTCTGTTAAGGTAATATATATGTGCTGATGTAGAAGTCTCATTTTATATAAGGTCACAGGTAGCCTTGTCAATATGGTATGCAAATTACATTAAACACAAGTTACACAACAGCTTGATGTTATTGTGGGAGGGGCAGTCATATGGGAATGTTATATAGTCTGCTATGTTGTTAGACTGTTAATCAGGCAATTCATGTGTGTTTATATTGATACCGTAGTAGACTTTCTGGCAAGAAAACATTATTAAATATATTTATTTTAATGACTAAAAAGTTTTCTCCATGACAAGTAGATAAATGTCAAGCAGCCTCATTCTCAAATTTCATGCTATAAAAATGGAAATTTATGTCTCTCTGGCCATGAATAATAACTTAATAATTATGGCACCAGTGGTTACCCCCAAGTGGTGGGCTGTTAGGAATTTTGCACTAATCTTGATTTAAAAAGAGAAAATAAATGCACAAATTAACACATGCAAGGTTTATGTGGAAAAACATTAGTAGCCCAAAAAACTATTTTGATTGTAAAATGCCCATTTTTTTATCGGTAAGGCCAGAAAGAATTGTTGTAATTTTGACGAGTTCCAAAAGGCCTGAAAATTTCAGAGATTTAAGTCATTTAATGCGAATTTATAATGTTTCTCTTTATCTGGAGGTTTATCTTAGTCAAATGGTTTCTGTATTGTTTTTTGACATGTTGAATTCATGCATTAGTTGGAAGTGGTTCTAGTAGACTTATGTAATGATAAGAATCTTATCACTTGTTGTCTCTAGAGTTAACTTTTTCTTTTTCTGTATGATCAAATTATTACTGTGTTATTCAGTCCAAAAAAAAATTATTACTCTGTTATTTACCTTAAGTAGTGAAAATCTCAAATGGTTAACGCTGTTATCCTTTTTCATTGCATCTTTATGATAGTAATTCTCATGAGGCTCACAACTTGTAAAAATTTCTGATTGCGTCAAGTAATTAATATGATAAAGAGCACTCTAGAGATTTATGAATTTTCAAGAAACATAAATAGCATCCTTGAAAATTCATTAAAAAATGAAAGATCTTGATGGTGACGCTGGGGGCTGTTTGGAGAGAATTTCTTCTGCCCAAATCTATTATGGCTGCACAAGGATTTACTTATGTCAATTGTACCTTTGATTCTGAAAAACTTGTATTCATCCTCTTAATTAATTTTGGAACTGACACACATTATGCCACTAATTAATCGACTGTATCTCCAGGTCCGTCATCTTGAACTCAAGAAAGAAAAGGAAGTTGAAAGAGAAAATCTTGTCAGGTTTCTGCTGGATGCAATGGCAATACAATTTAAAAATCCTTCCATTTGGAATTAGGCTTGCCCTTCCAAAGCAATACTTTTCTGGTGAGTGAATCAGGGTGCTGAAATATCTTGCATAATTTCTTCATAAAAGCTTGCTTGTGAAAATAGTCACAACAATAGTACAATAGTAACTGTTACTATCTGTGCCATTTATAGCTGCCTTTATATGGTGTATCAATTGATTATCCAGCTCTTACTCTGTTTCCACATATTGTTCAGTTTTCCAGCAACCCTGTTGACTCCAGGAGAACCACACTGTTGATTGAGTTATGGCTCATCTTTGGAAATCAAGAAAATCAACATGAAGTTTTGCAGCATTTTCTATTCATGTCTGAAGAGTTTTAGGGTTCCTCACTTTGTATTTGAATTTGAAAATTTGTATATATTTCATAGGTCAACTTGTTTAATGAAACAGAACTAGAAATTATTGAGACAGATAAATTTTTTGTTCTTGGTATGTTAAAAGCGTTCTGCAACAATATGTGAAAAAGCATCTCCTTCATTTGGCCTGACATGAACTTTTCAACTATGGCATGGTTTCAGAGCACTGTGTTCTCAGTCACTTTTATTTTAATATTGTTTATTATTGTGCGGCTAACTTGCTAGGTTTGTATTTTTTGTTTTCCTGGTCTCCTATTGATTGAATTTTGTATGCTTCATCCCTTGATTTCATATATAGAACCGGCCAAGCAAAAGCCTTGATTTCATGCTTGTAATATCTAGCTGAACGGAGTACCCAGGCCTATAACCATCAAAGCCAATACCCCATCTCTCACTGGAGGGAAAGAGAGAGCTGATTCTCAATAATGAAGAAGAATTTTTTTATTTTTTACGGTCTGAATGATGAAGACTTATTTACAAGTGTTAAATAGCCTGATTCCCAAATCCATGATGCCACACACCATTGATACAATTTATCGCATTAGGCAACAATCTTGGCCTATCTTGCATATAACTAGCTTCTTAAACCGAGACAGGAGTCTCTAATTGTCTTAATTTTGTTGACGACCATGTCCATGGACATCCGCTCTGGTTGTGACATTGCAGAGCATGAAAGTCCTATACGCATTCACGAAACGAAGTATTCTTCCTATCTTCTTGCTTGGAGTTGACCACCAACATGATATTTTGTCATCGGTTTTTCTTGTATGTCATTGTCGTATCTGTCATCATTGTCATCCTCACCATCTAGTTCGAGGAGCAACGAAGGATCAATGATGTCCATGACATGGTCAGGCAAAGCCATGGCTGCCAATTGGTGAATGCTTAGACCATCTTTGAACATGTCATCTGTCGGCCTTTTTCCAGTGAAAAGCTCTAGCAACAATATCCCATAGCTATAATGTCTCCCCAGTATAGAAACTTGACCTCCCATGCCATACTCTCTCATTCATTTACATATAGAGACTTAATTTTTTCGTAGTAATAAGTTATTTGGAACATAAGAAAATGAGAATCATAGACTCATACCTGGAGGAATGTAGCCTATCGAACCCTTTAGCCCCACGGACATGGTTTGATTTTTGGAAGAATTATCTGATGCTTCCAAGAGGAACCTTGCTAAACCAAAGTCACCAACATGGGCTACCATATCTTCATCCAGAAGAACATTGCTCAGCTTTAGATCACAATGAACAACGGGAGTTTCATAACGATGGTGGAGATAATCTAATGCAGAAGCAACATCAATGGCAATATTCAATCTTTCATAATGTTCAATCTCATAATTCGAGATTGCTCCTCATCTCTTGGACACAACCACGCATCTAGACTTCCATTTTCCATGAACTCGAAAACTAGGCTTTTGAAGTCATTACCCTGATCATCAATGCTTGAGCAAACAGTTATGATCTGGAGAAGATTTCGATGCCTTATACTTCTCAAAGCTTTGCATTCATCAACGAAACTCTTGGAAGCACCTTCTTGTTGAAGGTTTAATACCTTCATGGCAACTATTGTTCCATCATTAGAGAGTACCCCTTTGTAAACAGAACCAAAACTTCCTGAACCAATCAGATTGTCCAAAGAGAATCCATTAGTTGATTGAATGAGTTCAAAGTAAGAAACACCTGATTTCCAATCCTTATATGAATGCGAAGTTACAGTTCTACCTCTTGACATTTTCACCATTGAACAAAGAGCAATGAAGAATGACAGAGTAATTATGAATGCAATTGCACAAGTTAAAGGAACTACCACTTTTAAGGCAAGTAGTCCTTGAGATGAACGAGGCTTTTTGCTGGAGCACGTTGGTAGAAATAATTTTGGGATGCCACCGCAGAGCCTAGCATTTCCAAGGATTGAGACACCCCTAGCATTTGAAAAGATCTCTTCTTTCGGCAATTCACCCTTGAAATCATTGTGAGAGATTGAGATGCTTAAGAAATCTAAACTTGCTCAGAAACTTGGGAATCTGCCCAGATAAGGTGTTCCTTGAAATATTTATTTCTTCCAATCCTCTTAAATCTTTAAGAGATTGAGGAATTGCTCCTGCAAATTCATTACCTTCCAAATGCAAGCGCGCCAAAGTAATACAACTGCCAAGGCTTCTTGGGATTTCACCAGATAACTTATTTCTTGATACATCTAGCTCTGTGAGATGTACCAAGTCACCCACTTCCGATGGCAGCGAACCAGTCAACGAATTGTTAGACATTCTCAAAGAAACCGAAAGAGATGAAAGCATAAGAAGCTGTTTAGCTATGGTGCCAGATATATTGTTACTAGAAAGGTTAAGCATTAGTAGATTTTGTCAGTTTCCAAGACTTTTAGGTATACTTCCCTCAAACCTACTCTCTTGCATGTAAAGCCTTGTCAATGAAGTCAAATTTCCTATGGAGAATGGGATTAGACCAGAAAATTTGTTAGCATTTAAGAATAGTCCTTATAACTTCTAAAGCTTCCCAATTTCACTAGGGACACTACCACCCAAATCATTACCTTCCACTCCGAAAGCACTCAAATTTACTCCAATGCCTCTAGGGATGCTTCCATGTATCATATTGACACCCAAAGTAGGAATTTTTAGCTGGGTAGAAAGGTTGGCTATGGATCCCGGAAATTCTCCTTCGAAATGATTACGGATAAGACCCAACACCTCTAGATTAGTACAATTAGCCAGGACACATAAAACTCAAGTCACCGGCTTTCCCACTTCCCAATCTGTTTTCATCAAAGTTTAGTTTGACCAAGCTTTGCAGCTTTCCAAAACTTCACCAGGAAGTTTTCCAGTGAAGCCATTTCGAGCAAAATCAAGAACCTGAAGTCCAGAAGCATTTGACAACGATGCAGGAATGTTCCTTGTGAAACTGTTGGCACCGCCGACAAACACCTGGAGATTAGGAAGAGTAATGCCGGCATTTGGTGGCAGCTCTCTATGAAGCTGGTTCTGAGTGACACCAAAAATATATATGGAAGAAATATTATAGATTGAAGCGGGGACCATACCAGACAAATTATTCCTTCCAACCCTGAATGATCCCAAGCTTTTCAGACGCCCGAGCTCATTCCTAATGCTTCCTTGGAGATTGTTGCCGCCAAGGGAGAGACTGTTCAAAGAAGAAAAGTTCCCTATCCAACTTGGGATTGTTCAACTGAGATTGTTTCCATCAAGCCATATGTGAGTTAAGTCAACATCAAACTGAGCTGCTTCGGGATCGATCCAACAAGCTCATTGGAAACAAGACTGAGCACTTTCAGCTGCGTGCAGTGATATATTGGTTGGGATTTCCCCACCAAAGGAATTCATAGACAGGTTAAGATGCTGCAGATGTAGCAGACAGCCCATTTCTTAAGGAATTTCGCAATGAAAGTTGTTGTCAATGAGGTTGATTCCTGTAAGATATGTTAGGTTTCCTACAGAAGGTGGTAAGGAGCCTGCCAGTTTTTGAGAATCCAGTTTCAAGATCACCACTCTTTAGCTCGAAACGCTGCACGTAACGCCTGTCCAGCTGCAGAGTTGAGTCGAATCATTCCATGAGCTCATGACATGGAGAGGATCTTCGGTTATCTTCTCTTGAATTCGAGCAACGCCATGCAATCGGGTTCCTTTCTGAAATTGGTGGCTAGTTTTGCAGATGCCAGACCTACGCTCATGCATAAAAGAACAAACCATTCATTGAACAAAAAAATGTGCCTACGTCGAGCACCAGAATGCTGCATCTTGTAGTAGATGCAGGTTTCAGATCATGACCGAATAAATATATATAATATACGTATATAAAGAAAAACCAAGTTTCATTTTGCAAAGTCTAAAGAGAAGAAGTTTATGGCATATAGCAAAATGTTGATGATATTGCAGCAGGACCACAAAAATTGTGAATGGTCCTGCAAGAGAAATGTGAAGAAATTTTGGTTCAATAATGTCTCTAGCTTCATTTTGGTATGTGGATGTGAGATTGAAGTTGGGAAGCAATTATATTCATAGGCCTGACCAATTTGGTCCAAATTTTTTATTTCATTATGGGGGATAAGATTTTTAGTTGAGAACTTGGAAGCATTTTCTTCTTCGTTTTTTATTTATTTATTACAATGTGATTTATCAATCTGATACTGTTGGAACAGATTATTACTTCAATATTTACTTTCATATTCTTTCTATTTTACAACAACGTATATAATTAATATACGGTTTTCTAGCCAACAACAGCCCTTATAGCTCAGTGGTAGAGCGTCAGTCTTGTAAACTGAAGGTCCGTAGTTCGATCCTGCGTGAGGGCATCTTATTTTTTTCTTTATTAAACTATTTTGGAAAATGAATCAACAGCCACGTGTTTTATTCAAGTTTGCTGAATTATTTTAAACTTATTTTTTAACAATGACGAAATTCTAATCTATTTTAATGTATGGGGAGGGAGTTTGAACTCAGGTGCAAGGGAGTCGAGGGGTGCCTGCATGTGCTTTTTAACCGGGAAGGTCTCTAGAAGGGACTAACCTGGGCTATAGCCCATGTGAGTTGTTATTCTATCAACCTAAAATTTAATTGGGAGTTTCACTATTATGCCCAATATAGGGACCCAAATTATAAAAAAAGTCGTACATGAAATAGACTTTAGAAACACATCCAAATTCTATTTACAATATAAAAATGTGGCTTCGAACTTTTTTTAAATTACAAAACTACCATCGATTTTTTAAAACAAACCTAACCCTAAAACCTCATTAAAAAACAGGGCATCAAAGTAATTTAATAATCAAATTCAAATTCAACAGGGCCAAGTGTCTTGTTTCGGGTTTGTTTATATAAATTAAATAGTGTAGGGTTTATCTATATTAGGGGTGGTTGTGGTTCGGTAACCGCAAATTTTTGCCCAAACTGCAAACTGACCAACTATTTGCGGTATGGTGATTTTTGAAACCGCAAGTTCTTTTTGTGACATAAAAATCCAATCTTCCACATTTTAGGCCTAATTTTGATGTTTTTTTTAGGCCTTTTGATTTCAAGCATGCCTTAACCCAAAAATATAAATTCACAACCTCAACTTCTCAAGCATATATAAATTCTCAACCTTCTCAACTTCTCAAGCATTCACAACCTAAAGAAAATTAAAGTTACAATTTCAAGCATTCCAATTATAGTTAAACTTCTCAAGCATTCACAACCTCAACTTCTCAAGCATTCCAATTCCAAATCCTTTAAAGTTACAAACCAAAAGGAAAATGCAATGCAAAATGAATTAAAGTTACAACCCCAAGGAAAAATCCAATTCAAAGTTAATTAAAGTTACAAACTAAAAGGAAAATGCAATGCACCAATGTTACAAATTAAAGTTACAAACTCAAGTGTTGGTGGTGGTGAGTGGATTTGAAGGATCCCGTTGTGTTGTTTGAGCACCAATACTATATACAAAAAGCAATTTTTTATTATTTATAAATATAGTCGCGGTTTGTGGAAACCGCAAGTTTTGAAAATCAAATACCGTAACAGCAAATGCGGTTCGGTTCTTCATACCACAAATGCGGTTCGGTTCCCGCGATTGTGGTTCCATTGCGGTAAATTGTCGGTTGGTTTTTGCTGTTTTTCGGTCTAAAATGCCACCCCTAATTTATATTACTAGTGCTAAGAATGGATATATAACTAAATACCTCTATTTTAGCCCACCCATGTCTACTAATGACAATAATGCCACGCTCACATTCAAAGGCTCACACCAAATCAAGGCTCATTGCTCATCCAACAATACACTCAAAGAAAAGAAGATGAGACAAACTAATGAATTCAATTCTCTTTGACTATTCTAGGATATTCTTGTGTAAGACATCTATGTAGGACATTTTTTTAGCCTACTGCGAACTTCTCTTTATTTAATTTTTTTATGAACATCCTACTGCTAATTTTCCTTTCACTGATAACCATCTTCACACATAATCCCTTTAAGTGAAAAAATAAATAAATAAAAGAAAAAATTGGTATGCTCAATAGCTGCACCTTTATGTTCCACTCTCCGATGCGTACATAAGATAATTTTAGCCCATTCCATTTTAAAATTCTAGGTCCGTCCCTACTTTTAAAACTTATTGGCGTAGCCCACAGTGCTTTTAAACGTTATTTTAGTCTCCAATTTTTTTTTTGCTTGCAGAACTTGTAAGTCCACTATCAACACAGAAATTCCAGTTTCTAAATCACCTCCAACAGCATAAATTAAATTGCCTGTGTAAAATTTGACATATAAATAAATAGCTAAGAAATATTTAAATGCAGCTGGTACGCAACTGAAAACGAAACAGAAGAATACAGTCTTACTAAGATGCTGCAATTTAGTGTGAAGGGAGAATTTGATTCAACAAATTGTTAGAACTGAATAGACAAAAGAAGAGCTGAAATTTAGTAGTTGAGAAACTTACATCCTCCCATTAATCTTTTTACATTTCATCCTCCAAGAAAATAAATGCAAGCAAACCTGTGAACATGGATCAAGTTTGATAAGCTTGGTTGGTCAGTTTAAAAGTTGTGCTGCAAGAACAACTTCTCTTGAGGTGAAGCAGGTCCAATCTCTTCCTCCAAACTCCTCAACCCATCACCACCGCTCCCACAATTGCCCAAGTTTCTAGCTTCTAAGTTCTTCCCATCAGCATCGACGTCTGAGACCGAGGACTTCCTCCTTTGGGAAGAGGCAACACTTGGGAATGTGATCCATGAAGGAGCTCTGAATTCGAACCTTTGATCCTCCGATTCTACCACATCAGTGTCGACCGACCTGTTTGAAGATCTTTGAGAGGACTTTTTGTGCAATCTACTGCTTCCCAGTACCACCTCAGTTGGCAAAATAGGTTGCTCGTTACACGGGCTGCCCATTAACAGCGCAAGAGCTCGTTCTAGTGCTGTCGTCACTTTATCCATTGATGGCCTCTCCTTCCCTCTCATTCTCACACACTTGCAGGCTACATTGGCAATTCTTTTCAAGGCTTCAAGGTCAGGTGGGGGTTTCAAAACTGGATCCAGAATTGCATTTATCTCTCCTGACTTGATAAGAGGCACTGCCCATTCAACTATATTTCCATCTTCATATTGCATATCAATGGCTTTTCTGCCACTAAGAATCTCCAACAGCAAAACACCAAAACTATAAACATCAGATTTGGTTGTAAGGTAGTGAAGTCTGTAGTACTCAGGATCAAGATACCCAAGAGTTCCAGCTGGTAGCTCCGCCAATGGGGATCCACTATCTGCAGGTCCCAATAATGATAAACCAAAATCAGACACTCGAGCATTGTGTTCCTCATCAATGAGGATGTTTGAAGACTTAATGTCTCGATGAATCACCGGTGGGCAAGCGTAACCGTGCAAGTATTCAATTCCCCGAGCTGCCTGGACTGCAATAGTGACCCTTCGAACCCAATCCAATTGCTCTTTCAAGGATTTGTTCTTTCCATGGAGGTGTTGATGCAATGATCCATGAGCCATGAACTCATAAACAAGAAGCCTTTCCCCACCTTCTTCACAATAGCCAAGCAGATTGAGTAAATGCGCATGGTTTAATCTTGAGAGCAAGTCTAGCTCTGTATGGAACTCTTTCGAATTCTTTTGCATGTTGGGAGATACTATAGCCCTTTTGACAGCAACAACTGTCCCATCTTTCAAAACACCTCTGAAAACACAGGAGAAGCTACCCTTTCCCACAACAGACACTTCTTCAAAGCCGGCTGTAGCCCTTTCAAGCTCCTCATAAGTGAACATCTGAGCCCTCCTTATCTTCAGGTCATCCAAATCGGGACGAATCTTACCATTGTCTTTATGGAAAGGAGAATCACTCCGACTATTCTTTTTAGACTTCGAATCTTTTGCTGCGCACTGACAGTCTCGTAACTTATAGCGAACATATAAAAATGCAGTTATAGACACAACACTAACCAAGAACACAGCAAAGGCAATCTCTGCAATTATGATAGGTAATTGCATCGACCAAAACCTTTCATTCGTCTTGGCATCGGAATACGAAGATGAGCAATTTGAAAAGCAGTCAGCTGAGTAACAATTGGAACAGTTATATTCACAAAGTCTATCAGATTTCAGAGTGCATCCCGTTTTTTGGTACATTTCAGCAGGACAACCATCGCTGCAAGGCATGCATATGCGAGAGTTAGGATATTTGCAAGAGGCACTCTCATGACTAAACTCGTAGAAACCAGGAGCACAAGGAGTGGACTTGCAGAATCCAGGTGCCACAGCTATGGGAAGAGAAGTTGGAAATCCAAGACCCCAACAAACAGGTAAGAAAGATTTGTCAGCAATAACTCCACAAGTGAAGTAATTTCCAGCAGCAATCTCATAAACCTTCTTACTTTTAGGAGCCGGTGTACTTGGTTTCACAATAAATCCCCAACAAATCACCCCACGGTCAGAGCTCTTAATCCCACAAGCATGGAACTTCCCTCCCACAACTGAGAGCATTGGTTCATTTGGGGCCAAATCAACATTCCCTTGACCCGAATACGCCACTGAGATTTCTTCTTCCATGTCCAAGCTTCTTCCCCAACAATAGGGTCTAGAATTCACACTCTCTAAAATCCCACATACATGATACCCACCTGCTGCAATCTTCCGAAACCTGAATTTTTTCGGGATCAAGCTGATAACCCTGCTACTAGTCTCATCACCCCCAGCAAAAGACTGTTCTGTTCTGAGAAAACAATCCACAATTGAATTCTGAGCCTGCTGATATTGACTGAACCTGTCCATCAAACACATAGCTTTTGGTCATGTTGTAACCCCAACAATCAACAAAAGAGGTGTTTCTGAGTCTGCCGGTTAAAGGTTTTCGCAATCCACACAAATGGTAATCACCAGCACTGATTTCTATATATTGAGCTTCTTTAATAATGGGTTGAGGGACACCCATTTGGATATAACCACTGCTTCCCCAACAATATGGCTGGTTAGACTCCATGAGAAGTCCACAAACAAAGCCATCACCGCAGTTAGACCAATAAATGGGAAACGACTTGGAGTTCCATATGTTATTGCTGAGTTTGATCCATAACAGGTCACAAGATGAGACCCATCTAACTTTAAACCACAAAAACTGGACCTTTCTCCCCATAAGAAACTGCAATGGCTGACATGGAGCCTAGTCCTGAAGCTAAACACCATAAATCTGATAAAATTGCAAGTTTAACAAGAAACCCAGCTCTCAGTATGCTGATATTAAGGACCCAGATCAGGAAATCCTTTAAAAAAATTCCCATTACAAGCCAATATAACTATTCAAAGATAAAATTTACTCCACCACCTAAAGTTTCTGACTTTTCCTTCTGGCCAATTTGAAATGAGAAAGTCAGATATCCACCACAGTTCAACACAACAAAGCAGCATATATTGCAGTACTCTACAAGGAAAAAGCTGTCCTTTCGAAGATTTTCTAAAGAACTGAAACGACATTATACTCCCCTTTTCTCCATAATGGAAATGAAGAAAAAGGCAACGATGAAACTAAGTCGCCATGAATAAACAGAAAAAATAGGTGAATGTGCAACAAACCCACGTACCAGAAGCTACAGATCAGCCAAACCAAGCAGGACCAAATCAGAAAACCCCCTTCTGAAACAGAGAACTTTTGCAGAAGATTAGTAAAGGCAACAACTTTAAGGAAACCCACACCTACTTAAGCTCTGTTTATCAACACCCATGTGAGAAAACCTCCTGTTTCTTCACTTTCTGCTGAAAAATAAATCTTAGCACTAAAAAATGATTCCAAGATTTCTCCAAATTTGAATCATAAACAGAAACTAAATAACCTTTTGGACCACGTACTTAGTTTTGTTTCAGGCTCATCTACAAAACTCAAAAATGGGAACAATATCTGGTACTTCTCTGTCCATAAAGTTTTGCTTTGAATGTGTGTTGGGTGGTAAGGTGAATTTCTTGAAGGGAAATTAAAGAAAGATGGATTGTTGCATGTGGTTGCAAGCAAGAATTTAGAGAGAGAAGCATTTAATGCAATGAAACTGCAGCTTCTGAATAGGACCTTAGTGTAGGTGAGGACAATAAATGAGAAGTTAATGCAATTTCATCTTTTCATGCCTGGATTGGAGCACACTTGGCCACCTTTCTGGAATTTTTAAAAAAAAAATTACTTTTTGTGAAGAATGCATCCAAATTTTGCTCCCCTTATTCTTGTTTTTCCTACTCAGTCATGGTTTTAAATATTTTTGTTTTCTTTTGCATGCATGACGTTTATTTTTTGGCTATCATCATGTGTTCCCTTGATCATTTTTGAATGGATATTTCTAACAAAATTAAATATTTTTTTATCCGGCAATTTTACACGTTTATTGTATAAATTGGCGTCATCAATCATTTGTGATTGTGCTTGTATAAAACATAATAATTTGCGAGTTAGTATCAATAAATTATAAATACTAAAACAGAAGGAGAGTTGAATTTTTACTGTAGGCCTGTAAACTGATCATATATAGAGCGAGAGAACTTTTTCTTTTGATATAAGGAATATTTGAGGAATTGAGAGTCAAACAGATAACTTTGGGTGCATAAGTAACTATTTAAGGAACACAATTCCCTTGTATCTTGCCAAGAACTTTGTTAGTCACATAGTTCGATCAATGAATTTGATCAAGTGGTGACAAACGGAAATTGTTGTCGTCTTTAATTAAGTACTAGAGCTTTAACTCATTTGGATGACATATACCATCTCGGGAAGATGACGACTGGATTGTCAGGGCTAAGGCTTGCTTAGGATTTTTTTTAATTTTTTTTATTTTGGGTCTGAAAGGCTTAAGAATTCTAAAGTGAGGTTCTAGCCATGGGAAGTTGGGAACTTTGACATTTCAAAGAGGGTATGTGCCAAGAAGTACTTTTCCTAAAGAGGCTATTGACATTATAAGGCATAAGTGATGATAGATAAAAAGGGATCTCGAGCCTTTGCATTTAGCAAATTAGCATTCGTGCATTTACACACATTTAAAGGGATGTTAACCATTAGATTGATCTAATGAATTTTAACAAGTCCACATCAGCATTTCTTTACACCTTATGTGTAATTAATAGCTTTGAAATAAAATATTAAAAATACAAAATAATAGTCTTAGACCCAACCCAGCCTCTACTCGGCCCAGACCTAAATCATCCCCACCGGTTGCTGCTATCCATGGCCACCTCCTCTCTTTGTGCCATCCATAGTCCTATTGTAGTATTTAATATGGAATTATTGTCTCAACAGCAAACAAGTGCTCCAAAATTAAACTGCAATTGAAAATCCTAGAGGTGCCTACCAACTATAGGAACTAGTGAAGGTGTATGTGAGAGAAAAGAAAAGAGACTGAGAGGCAGCCGCAATTGGTGGGCATTATAGGGGCTGGGTTGGGGAGGAAGGTGGTTGCTATTTGATGGGATTTTTTATTTTTATTTTTTTATTTCAAAGATATACATATAATAAGGTGCAAATTGTGAGTTTTGGTATAATACAATTATGATGATGTGGACTTATTAAAATACATCAGATCAATCTAATGGTTAACATCCCTTTAAATGCATGTAAATACACGAATGTTAAATGCATAGACTCGGGATCCAATAAAGAGATCATATTTTCATATATTCCTAAGAAATGCTATATCTTATAGTATAAACAAACACATATTCTCTACTAGGGCATTCATTATTGAAGCAAATACTCAATTCCAACAATTCAATGTATACTAGAATTATAGGCAAGCGCGGATCAACCATGAGAGCATCATAGTGGGGTGCAAATTATCTTTAAGGACAAAATGCCAAACATTTACCTCCACCGACTTTCAAGTTCTTCTCACCAAAAGTTTCTTTGTTTGTGTATCATTTTTAATGCATGTGTGATCTATTGAATTTGTGTATTTAATTGCATGAATTATTTATTTTTATTTTTATATGAATATAGCAATTTAAACCCAATTTTTCCAATATGAACATTGCTAGAAATGGACCTAAGCATAAAAGACCTACTTAAACTGATCAGCCTATGATAGAGGAAACTACGTACTAACTCACCTAATAAGCATTTCCCAGCATTTGAAAGTTACACATTTACAATAATAGCCCGAAACACAAATGTAACAAAGTATCTCTGAATATCCACCAGGGTGCATGTTTTTCTACTTGGAACGATGAAAGCCATGAATCGGGAATATGAGTGAGAATGAATTAATGACTATATGGGAAGCAACTCTCCCCTCTAATACTGACTTTTTAAGTATTGAATTAGTGAAAAATACCTGTATGTTAGTAAGTAGAGAGGAAGTAAGGAATTAGTGATATATTTACTTGGCATGAAGGGAAGTCATGAATCGATGAAAGAAAGAATGGGTGTGGGATCAACTATAGACCACCCTAAGATCTAAATCTTGATTTTTAGGTATTAGATTATGAATTTTAGTGTAGAACGAACATCTTTTTCTATTCGATATGTGTTGAACATTAAAGCATAAATTATTTTGTGATAGTTCGATTTCAAATGAATCGCCGAGATTAGAAGGTCAGGAAATTTTTTTAGGTTATAATATAAAAATGATCAATATTATATTTAGAGTTCAGATGCTCTTAGCGACTAAAAGTACATGTCCTTATAAGTATCGTTTTCTTTCTTAAATGATACAATCCATATTTGTTTGTTGCTTTTGGAAAAAAAATTGAAAGAACGTTACAAAGAATATTCTTGGCGAATATTCTTATAACTATACATGTCAAACTTAATGTTATGTGAAATATCAAAAGGAAAATGACATAATCATGTACAAGGATTTGAACAAGTGTGTCTCTTCTTGACTAGAGTGTCAGCTACCATATTAATTCCTCGGAACATATATGCCGTATGGATACAGTAGGAACTCATCGAAGCCCAGGAAATTGCATGTCTCAATGCTAAAACGAAACCATCAAAACTCATTTTAAAATGTTGTGATTTAGGAGGGCTCCAAACATGAGATTTGACATTAACATAACACATCTTGGGCATGAGATGGGGTGGGATCATGATTAGGTTCAATTTCTCTTGTAAGAAAAGAAACAAAAGTCTACACGGAGACAAATCCAGAAGACACAAAACTTGATAGTAAAGCAAAATTTCAATTTTAATAAATAAATATATAATTTTTTAAGAAATTAATTAGAAAATGACAAGCGGTTATTTTGGATTTTTATCTCATAATATAAGGAGATTTGGATGATCCAAAGTAGTGGGGAGGACCAACCTCAGTTTACCTTAATGGAGAGCCCATATCAATCACTGAACATTTATTAGTTAATACATGTCTTAGTTTTCAAAGAGTTTGGTGGGTGATATGCTCAAGGAATTTTATATTGGTCTCTTATATGATTTTGTAATTATAAATTAATGAATAATTAACAACATCTCATCCTGATTTGCATATTACATGTTCCCAATGACAATACAAACAAAATTGGACAATTCATTTCATGCTAGAAATTTCTTAATTATATACAGATATTATGGAAATTTGTTCCTTACAGGCTCAACAGAGCACGAAACACAATATAGGAGCAAATCAAAGGGATGGGGGACTACGAGGCCAGATTATGGAGTGATTATATAACGGTTCCTTATAGAATATTACGGTAGAGTATGGTCACGTGGTATATTTTATACACGTGTTATTATATATAAATGGATATTTATTGAAACTATTCCTTAAAAATAAGGAAAATAAACTATATCGTCCACCCATATTATAACACGTGCATAAGATGTACCATGTGTACATACTACCGTAGTAGTCTATAATTTCTCCAGATTTGTAGGCAGCAAATCACATGCATGCTTAACATATACCCAAAACAAATTTAATGATTTCAAAATAAATTAAGAAATATATTTGTGCTTACCATGGCTTTACTTTTTTTTTAAAAAAGGGAACCACAGTTTGATTTTTGACCAAGATTATGTTATGAATATTTAATATTAAAAATAAAATGTTTTGTATTTAAAATTGGATTTCACATGCTTGATCTTGGTTTTACCAGATGACAATAATATTTATTCTTCATTCATTCTTGTGGTCCTTGCAAAAGCTGTAGCCTCCTCCTGATCGA